AAATAGGAAGGTGCCAGTTTTGTTTATTTTAAAATATTCGCATTCTTTTTTGGTACTTTTTTTTTTTTTTTTTTTTTTTTTGTGTATATGTTTTTTTTTCAAATAGCAATGTGAACAGCGCGGGGGGGGAGAGGTTGGCATCCACGTAGGTGCTTCCCTTTGAATACGTTAACTTGGGGGAAAGGCTTCCATACATAGGCGGTGACCCAACGAGAGGGTTCAATACCCACTCGTACGATGCAGTTGCCGTTGCCGTTGCTCATTCATCGACCCATCTCATTTTTATTTTAAGTCATTCACGCAAAAAAAAACAAAACACACAAACAAACACAACCTGCATGGTGCTGCAAAAAAGTAAATCTTCCACATTAACTCGTTCGTAATGTTTAGTGGAGGTCCGTTCGCCCTTTCCCGTGTTATGCACATGTGTGTACATAAAGGGAAAAAAAAAAAAAATATGCACAGGTCAGACGATAAGAATTGCAAACGCGAACAAACTAGCCAAAAATGATTTTCTTCACACATGACCTGTTCATATATTTTTTTTTTTTCGCTGCACATTTTACAAACGTTCATATGTGAAGGGGAATGGGTGTTCCATCAAAAAGAGACGCTCACGTAAAAAGGCACCACCCTGTGTCTACTCTCGCAGTTGTGTTGACTTTTTATGCGACCCCCTTGAAATCTTCCTCATCACTGAAGAAAAATTTTTCTATGTCATTTATTTGCTGCTCGTTTATTTTGGACAAATTGGTGGCGGACATGCACTCCCCTAGGTATGTACCCACACTACTATCGCCTACTTTGGGCGGGGCTTCATTCTGCTCATCATCAGACTCGTCATCCTCGCCCTGAATTTTGGTCCCCCTGTTGGTAAGCAGTCCGTTGGAAAGTTGCAGCATCGAGCTGTGCACATTCCGCAGCCTGTTTTGTGTGCAGCTCGTCGGTCTGTCCACGAGATTTCTTCCCTCATCCTTGTAAAAATCGTCCACGTCGGAAAAAATCTGATGACTGCTCACGTGGGCACTGTAGCTGATCTGTACATCCCTCGAGGAGATACTCGTGACGGGCTGCTTGTTTTTTTTCCTGTTTGTCATGTGTGCGCTTCTGGGCAAATCCTCCTCCGCAAAGTCGGGCAGGTCTACGTAGGATGGCAGTTTTCTGTTGAGGATGCTCGACATGGTATTCAGCTGCAGGACAACTGGGTTGTTCAGGTCAATTTGGACGTCTGCTCCATCGTCGCAACCATGACGGTAATTGCAACCGTAATCGAGATGGCCGCTTTCATCCAAGTCGACGTGGTAGTTGTCTCCGTAACCATCGTGCTCTTCCCCCTGAGCCGTGCCAACGAGAGAGTTGCGCACATGCTCCATTTCCTCCCCACTGAGATGCAACACCCCAGAGGGTTCTCCATTGCCCGTGTTAAGAAAAACGTGCTTCAAGTAGCACAGAGGCAAGGTGTACTCGTTGAATGGTTCTTTATAAAAGTCCCTTTGCCAAAAGGTACAATTCATATCACCCTTGTCTGCCAGCTCCTTTATCCTCAGCATGGTGTTGGCGTAAAATTTACTCGTCTCCTGCACATCGAACCGCTCTTGAGGGCGCGACCCCTGGAGAAGGGCCAGCTTGCACAGACCTTCGTACTTGACCAAGTCTTCCACGTGGTGCTCCGCGTGCGCTGTGTACGCCGCGTGCTGCTCTTGGTAGACGCTCGTGGTTGCGGCGGGTCTCGCCACTTGTTCCTTTTGCTTGTCCCCTCCCGTATCCCTGCCCTGGAGGAAACAAATGACGTACTGGTAGGCCCACACCTTGAGCATGAAGTGGAGGACCTGGACCTTCAGCGCCGCCTCCATATGATCCAATCGTTTCACCAAAATGCGAGCAAAATCGAAAAGCAATAAGTGGTCTGTAAAGTGCTGATACTTTGCCAGGGTCCACAAGACAGACGCTCGAACTTCACACGATTCAATGGAAAAAAAAATTCGAGTCAAGAAAAAATTAATTTGGGCTATATTATCTGAGTCACTCTGCTTGAGTAACTGCCTTAAAGAAAGAATGGCCTCATATGAATACAATTGAAGATTCGAGTTTAGCAGAGCAATGATGTGTTGCATGACTATGGGCAGACAGGACGAATCGGCAACAGCTACTGCAGTGATGTGCCTGAACAGCTTCTTCACAACAACATCATCATTGCCTGGTTGAAAGAGAGCATGCAACAGCTCCTCCAACACGACTGGTCTGTTCTCATCATTACTTAGTATGTATAGCATTTCAATTTTCATTTTTTTTTTAACCGTACTATCCATGGCGCTAATGTAGAAGAAGGAGAGGTAAGCAGCGAAGTCTTCTTTCAACAGAATTATAATCGACTGAACGCTTTTAATAAAGAGAGCATATGTGTGATCATTTCCCTCGATTGCACTTTTCATAATACAAGAAATAATAGCTTGAATAATATTCTCCTTGAATGTAAATTTGGTCAAATGGTACAGAGAGGAGATGCATTGTATAACAACGTTGTAGCTAAAGGAGGATAACAGGAGGAGCAGCTTTTCAATGAACATTTCAATGTCCACGCCGTAGTCTTCAATTTCCTCCTCCTGTTCTTCAATCCATTCGTCGTCCGGGCAGGGGTAGCATGGGGAGGGGCTTCTCTGGCGGGGCATGCAGCCTACATTGGGGTAATCTTCTGCACCGCCCTCCTCTGCGTCGTCTGCGCTGTCCTCTTCGCTGTCCTCTCCATCAGAGCAACTGAACACGCGAAGCAATTTCGTAAAATTTATATTTTCATTTGTAAGGGGATCTCGGTAAAACACCCTACAATATTGAAGCAGCAGATCTATTAGGTATGTCTGGTGGAAGGGGTGCATGAGGAGTAGGTACCTGCACAGCTTGTAATAATGCGGGTGAAGGAAGGACAGCCAGTTGTGTAAGTTCTTGCGGTGGGTCCCACTCGAGTTGCTACATTCCCCTGATACATCCTTCACTTCTCCTTCTTGTGTAGACGTGACGCCGTGAGGGATGCGATTTGTGGGTGTCTCTTGACCATTTTTTTGTTTTTCCTTTGTAACTGGCCCCTGCTCCGCCGCCAACTCATCGTGAGTGGTTTCTTCACCCCAATGAGGAGGGACCCCCAAACACATGGTGCAGAATGAAGCCACGGCGGCAGACACGACGGTGACCTCCCTGTCACCAATCAAGTCGAGCAAAATGTTTCTCAACACAACTAACTGATCAGGGTCCACGTTATATATAGAAGGGATCACATCAGCGGTAGTCTTCCTAACGTAAGGAGACCTATCCTTCGCCATTAGTTTAAGTGAATCCATGACAACACTGATCATTTCGAGTGACCGACAGGAGCACATGGCCCTCAAGGCATATGCACGAATTTGAAAGTCATTACTTGAAATGTCCTTCTTAAAAGAATTCACGGTTAGCATGCTCAGGTCGGCATTCCGCTGAGCATAAAGACACAAATAATGGTATATGAGCTTCTTCAGGGTGCGATTTGCATGTGACAAATTATTTGAAACTTCCACATAGAATTCAGACACGTCTTCCTTCATGGAGTGCGCGATCAGCAAGCGCTTTACTCCCTCGACCTTTCTCTGCACATTGTTACTTCTTAGGTCACTCCTAATTTCCTCCTTGTTATATTTGCTCGGGTCAAAGTACACTCCGTCATTGAGTCTAATGTGGGAGATGATGTCCTTCACGTTAGTCGCCGCCTTCTCGAGCAGCGGCACTTTAATGTTGAAGTTAAGCGACTCCATCATTCAGGGGAACAGGTGCAACGGGGTGTAGGCGATGCCGCTCGGTGGGGAGTCACCACTTGTGGAGAAGCAGATTTAGAAGCGGACAGAGAAGCGGAACATGTTGGGCGGGCACACGTCCCCATGGGTAGGACGCAGGACGCTACGTCTGGTTGGCACAGAAAGGAGAGAACGAGTGGACCGCTAATCAAGCACGGGATGCCTCACACCAACAACGATGCAGTTATATAATACTGGGGGGGGGGACAATGCTTCCCCAAAAAACGTTGAGCAGAGCAAAAAAAAAAAAAAAAAAAAAAAAAAAAAAAAAAAAAAAGAGGGGGGTGCTGCCCAAATGGGGGTTACTCAAACAAAGAGGGGTCATTGCAACATCTACAAAGGATTCCCTTTTTTTTTTTTTTTTTTTTTTTTGTTCTTTTTTAGCTCTTTTTTGGCTCTGTTTTAATGGAGAAAACTTGTTCATTGGTATTTTTTGGCAATGCCCATCCCGTGCGTGCCATCATCACGGGGAAGCCTGTTTTAACCTCTTCTGGGGCTTCATCGCCGGGCGAAGTGTTTTCATCAGGTGTATCCCCTGGGTGGGAAGCCTCACGCGGGCAGTGTATTGCGGCAACTTAGTGGGGCTACTTGCTGAGGAGCTTTACTGCCCAGATTCGCTGGGTCGCTGTTACCGCGATCGGGATTCACATTATACATTGTGGGTGAAATTTTTTTTTTTTTTTTTTTTTTTTTTCCAGGCCGTTCCGCTCCTTATGCAACTCCGCCTTGGTGCCACAAAAAGGGGAAGCGGGTCAAGACCATTGTGTGTTGTGCCCTACACAACAACGAAAATATTCCCACCGTGGTCACTTCCACTAATCCCTATACATGCATTATGACCACACACCTTTTCAGCATGCTCACAATTTTTTTTTTTATAACTTCTTTGTGGTGGTGGGAGTTCCTTGGAAGACACCCAATGTGAAATAAAAATTGGAAGAACTTTTCCCCCGTCGACACGAAATGGCCCATACCGATGGGAAGGAGGGTGAGTGTTTTTATAAACACATGGCAGGGACATGGGTAACATGCCCTGAGATGAGGACGGAGTATTAGAAGGGGGGAAAAAAAAAAAGGAGCAAAAATTAAACACAACAAAGAAAGGTAGAACAAAACACCGCGGGCCAAATTACCCTATCGCCCTTACCCCCTGAGTGTCGACTCTACCTGTCCGCCGTCCTAAACCCTGAACCGTTGTGAGGGAAAAATGGAACACTGAGGGAGGGGTGCGCTGTGACAACAAGGCAGTTGGACCGTGGTGGGGGGTGGACCGCTTTGTTTGTTTGTTCCCTCGCGTGTTTGTTTTTATTTTCCATTTTTTTTTTTTTCTTTTTTTTCCCCTCCACCCTGCGGTGTAACTGCAACGCTTGTTCGAACATCAAAATGTTCGCAAATTAAAAAAACATTTTTAAAAAAAAAAAAAAAAAAAAAGGGCGAGTCACTTGGCTGTTCGCAGAGTGAAGGAAAGGGCCACTTCGTCTTTGTGGAAAAAAGCAGCCCAAGCGGTGTATTTTTTTTTTTTTTTTTTTTTTTTTTTTTTTTGGGGGGGGGGGCCCCTTCAATTCAATTCTGCCCACTTGCAACAACACAAAAATATAGCACCCGTTCGAGGATAAAAACCACTGTGCAATAATTTTCCTATTTTCACAAACGCTTGGCAGCGAAGAGAGAAAGAGAGATGTCGCGTTCGATGGATCCCTTGGCGAATTGACTTGGAGCGCTTAAAAAAAATTGTCAACAGAAATTACACATCATCAGCGTCGATTTTACACAAAGGCGCGTCATAGAGATAGGGGGCATAGCGCGGCGTGAAAAAAAAAAAAAAAAAAGAACAACAGGCAAGCAAGCAACAGGAACAAAGGAACGAACAGGGAAACAGGAAAAGAACAACGGGAAGAAATAATTCCCCAAAGCAACCTTACACCCCGCGGTAGAACAAATCACCGATTTTTGATCTGTCACTTGTTGGAAGTTCTTGCGGCACCAGTGTTTTTTCCTTTTTTTTTTTTTTTTTTGTGTTTTTCTTTTATTTCTTTTTTTCTCATTTTTCTTTTTTTTTTTTCCACCGTTTCACCAACCACACATGTGACAGCTTTGTCCTTGCGTTGCCTCGCAATGGACTTTTCTGCACACGCGCCCCTACACGAGCTTGCGCGCAAATGTTTTTTGTAGATGGGAGCCCCCCCCTCGGCGGAGTACCCACCGCTTTGTTGCGAACTCGCAGTTTCCCTTTTGTCCACTTGCTCCATGAGAAAAGCACACATGACCGTTCCTGCGCAAATTTAACTTGCCCCTGGAACACCTCACTGCACAGCTCAGCTTGGGGGTGAGCTCACCTTAAGAGATCGTGCAAACCCTTCACCACCTTCGTGTCCATAAATGATTTCTGAACACATTGTGGAAGTATTTGTGAAGGACTTTTTTGGGCCCTTTTTGTTATTTTTAATTTCCTTTTTAATTTTCTCCCCGCTGTTTTTTTTTTTTAACATTGACAAAATGCAATTCGAGCAGCGCGAAAAACACACACAGACGGAGGAGCTCCAGGACGTCACTACCAAGTATGAGCACCCCGCAAAAGGTAAGGCGGGAAAAAAAAAATAAAAAGTTAAGAGGAATAAGTGGGCAGCGCACACAGCATGGAATGGGAGGGATATATCGATGCGACAAATCATACAAAGCAGCAGACATGACGGCGCACCTGTCCAACCGCACCTGTTGTCACAATATGAACTCATCCCATTCGTCACGTCCCCTGTTGGACAAATGCTATGCCATGCCAGCCGTGCCAGCCTTGCGGGGAAGGGGGGAGGAAGAAGAAGTGGGTCTTCCCCAGCCCATACCATTTGCATAATGAATACACATTGCGGGGGCAACACCAAGCGGAGAATTCGCTAAATGGTGGGATACACACTACAATGAATCATCAGATTGATGATTGGATTAACACACAGAGGCCATGTGACAAGTTATGCAAAAATTCATCTGCACTGTGCAGGTAAAAACGAACTAGCCAAAAATGAATAAATAAAAAAAAAAAAAAAAAAAAAAATTGCCGTTCAGGTGATCAAAGTGCAAAATGGGACAATTTTTTTTTTTTTTTCTTCCCCCCGCCTCCCCCCACGCAAATATATTAAAACAGACACGAATAAAAACAATACAATGAACAGTTTGTTGTGTGAATAATTGCGCAACTGGTGTAGTTGTCCCCCTTCGAATTTGCACACCTTTGCCTTGTTAACGTTTAACCCAGTTTTGGCATACACTCGAACTGAAACATCGCCTCTTTTTTTTGCCGCGTCGTGTCAGCTCATCAAATCGGTGCAATCGTTCCTTCGTTACAATTATAAAAAGATGTAGCCATGCGCACTATGGGTCTAATGCTCCCGAGAGTGCCAACACTGGTGCGATTACTTCTTTTATTCCTTTATTAACACGTGACTTAACTTATGCACACCCCACCCCCTCTGTCATCTCTTCCTTTTTCCTCTCATTCACAGATGGATGTAACGGACGAGCAGTTGGTTCGCTGGAAGACAACTCGATCAAGGGGGAAATGAGCGTCTCGAGCGTGGAGACCATTTGTTCCTATTCCAGCGGGGGGTCGCGGGTGGACGAAGTGGCAGAAACGGGACAAGCGCGAGAAGTGAGCGAAACGAGCGAAACGAGCGAAGCGAAGGAAGCACAGGGGAAGAAAGAGGTAGGAGGAACCAGCAAAACGAGCCAAACGGACGTCACACACAAAACGAGCCAAACGGACGTCACACACAAAACGAGCCAAACTGACGTCACGCACAGGACAAACATAAACAACCGCGCTGATGTAGCTGCCCGGCCGAGGGAGCGGGGGCGCTCCCCCACCCCTGGGCACTCCTCATACACACGGCAGACCTCGCTAAGTTGTGCCCTGGGAAGAATCAGCTCCAACTACGTAATGCATGCAAGCAACAACACAAGCCGTGTGGCAGAATGGGGCAGTAGGATGAGCGCCTCCACTTCCGTGAACCTGTGTAAAGTCACAAAACTTATCAACCTCCGTGAAGACCTCCCCTCTAGCGCTATGTACATTGGAAATGGTACAGACGGGGGGAGGAAGGTGGAGGTGCAGGAGGAGGAAGAGATGCCTCAGAAGAGTGTCACTCATGTGAGGAGTTGTTCCATGGACAGCCACCACATTGGCGTGACTCAAACGGAGCGCAGTTGCGAAAGTGGCCTCGAGCACGATGGGGACATGAAGAGAGGTCCAAGTGGGAAGGAAGATAATGATAAAACTTGCAACTCGTGCACAGAGAGCAGTGAATTGCAATTAGCGAAGGACCAAAGTTATGACCTCTGTAGTAGCAACAAACGAGTGTTCATCCAGGGGATTCAAAAAAAAAATTATCACATGAATGGGACAAATACATTTACATACTTAAATGAGGTTCTAGAGAAGACCTACAAAGAGACGGTAGAGCTCGATGGGTCCGAATATATTTTTTTGTATGACATATGTGTTCAGGATGGAGATGCATCAAGCCAATTAGACAAAAGAGGAGAGTTTATTCAGAATAGCTCTTGGGGTGCATCTGCATCTGTTCATACAACCATCCCATTAGAGGAAGAAAATGAGGTCCTTACCCTCAACGTGTATAATAAATACATAAACATTTTTCATAGCTTTTCAAATAAAATGAATAAAATTAGGAGACTGATCTACCCCATTGAGGCGGATGTGTCAGCAGGTTATGCATGCACAGGGTCGTTAGCATCAACTGCGGGGGCAGCTTCAAAAGTGGGTTCAGATAATCACCCGGAGACACACAGGAGGAGAGATGGACAAGCATCACATATGGGGGGGACCCGTGGTAGAATGGTTGTTGGTGGCCTTGACGAGACGAACCTCGAGTCCATACAAACACTCTTCGCAGAGGAAGGAGGACAGATGAGGAGCAGCCCGAAGATGAAGCTACTGGACAGAATAAATTGTCTCATTTTAACCGCCATGGGTAGAAGTGGGACGGAGGAGGGTAATAGTACGGCTGGGGAGGATACTTCCAACAGCAGTACCGCCAACCTGGTCGGTGACTCCACTGCAAAAATGGCGTCCCACCTTCATGCGAACTCCTCCCCACGGAAGACCACCCAGCTACTAACCCCATTGGACGTGGGCAAAATTAAGCAACACATGAAATGCAGTGCAAATAGGAGGGTCCACGAGAGCGATATATATGATATTCAAATTATGAAGAGAGGATACTTTTACCTCAACGTGCGAAATGGACACTGGGACGAGTACTACTGTGTCCTTTTCCATTTAAAAAATAACAACGTACTCTTCAAAAACGATCTCTTATACACACACTATTGTAGAGTCTACGACAGAGGGGTGTTACACAATGTACTAAATTCACCTGACTTGTACAGCAATTATTTTATAGCTTTTTTTAAAGACCCCAATTTCGAGCTGAACAAATTAACAAACTTGGACTTATGCATTATAATAAGAAAAAATTATTACCCATTCGTAATTGAACTCTCACGAAGTAAAAAGGCTAGTGTTATAATTCACACGGGTCAGGATATATTCCTTCATGTTGATCAGACTGAAGCGGAACGAGTGAAGAGTTCTCTTATCCTATTCGACATTAACTCTGAACCGTTTTATCTAATCCCCTTTGAATGGTTTCCAGACGATGGGGTTGCAGTGAGGAGTGCCGGTGGTAGGGTTAACAAGGGAACAGCTAATGAACCATCACCCCAAGGAAGCACTCCTCGTCGTGGCCGAGTGAAACTCCAGTACGGCCTGCTCAAGGAGTGGAACGACTGCCTCTACTCCGTCATGGAGAAAGCCAAGCAGAAGAACACAAACGTTTGTGACAAACGAGGCCAAAGTGAGAAGACGCACTATGTTAATAGGAAGTTTAGCCAGTGGATCGAGGCGTTTAAGAAGGAGAGGAACATTCAGGAGCACGCTGTGTAGGAGTAGCGGCGGCGGCAGCGTTTAGCGCCGTTCGCGTCATGCCACACCGTTGTACTAATTAAATTCGTCCCCTTTTCACCTTTTTTTTACTCACCCGTATATATATTCACGTACATATGTGTGTACATTTTTTCGTTCAACATGCGTGGTGTCATTAACGATTTCCTGCCCCGTCCCTGCGGTTCGCTTTAAAGGCGGCCCCCGTCCGTCCACCATTTTATTTGTTACCAGGGAAAAGGGGAGGGGGAGAATGGCAACTGCCCGCTTAAACTCGGGCCGATCTCGTAAGAATAGCTCGGCGCAGTTATAACTCAATCGGCCTCCGTGGCCCAAATTAAAGTTACTTTCCAACTAGACAGTTAACACACGCAAGGTCGCTGCAGGTGATAGCTGGAAATGGATTGAGATGGGGGAGCGGGATGACGGACTCTCCGCACATACATACATACATACATACATACATACATACATACATACATACATACATACATACATACATACATACATACATACATA